AAAAAAATTAAAAAAGAATATGGAATTTTTTTGTAGGAATAGAATTTTTCTAAATAAATTTAAAAAATTCTAGATATACATAAAATTTCACAAGAATAATGCGACAATGTTAATTAATGTGTATTTGATTTTGTTGTTGAGCCAAATAAAATAAAATAAGATTGAATGTATATTTAGCTTTGGTTGTGAATTTTAAAAAAAAAATGGTTGTAAACCTTAACAAAAAACAAAATTTAGAAAAAAAAAAGATTGAATGTATATTTAGCTTTGATTGTAAATCTTAAAAAAAAAAAAAAAAAAAAAAAGGGTCAAGTTGGGTTGGAGAATATCCAAACCCATTAGGAGATGGGGAGGGTAATACCCATGGGGAATGGGGATGGAGAATGAGAAAAAATAATTATAGGGGAATGGGAATGGAGAATTAATATCTACCCCATTAACCCCCATTGCCATCCCTACATGTAGTTATAGTTGGTAGATATCCATATGTATTTTGGTCCGGTAGTATTACCTGCACCAATTAATGTATATACTAGTATATCAATTATTATTATGATATTATTATTGATTATATTTATTATATAAGTTACAAATATTCAAAACCATAATAATGATACCACATCATCTATTACACTAATATATACATTAATTGGTACATGTAACATTATTCATTTATCATTGTGCATAGCCTTTTCTCTTTCTTTTTTTTTTGGTAATAAAGATGGAAACTAGATTAATAATGGTTAAGCAGTTACATTTTTAGGGTAAAAAGTACCTCTAACATCTTCAAAAGCTTTAAGAGAAATACAGTCAGGAATAAAAGAAAAAATAAATAAACCCTCGTGACTGAATCCTTCGTTAGCAAGCAAGTCTATGCATTTATTTCCTTTGCGGTAGGTATGGCAAACATAATAAATACGTCTGAATCTTTTTACAAAGAAAATATTAAATTGGATTTTTCGACCAAACACTTTTATTTTAATTAAATTTAGAAAAATTTGTGATGATCACTATTTGAGGATTTTGGATTAGAAATTTTTATAATTTTTAAATCTGGATCTTTGAATTAAATATTTTTGTTTTTTTGTTGGACCATTGACAACGGCCTCAACATCATAGGGGTTGGGCCGGCCCTCTAACTGCCAACCTAGATTGAAGTTTATGAGCTGGCATTTCATGACAGCTTAATTTCTTAGGGCGGATTTGTTTGGATGAACTAAATAATAAGGGATTGTAATGTATTGTATAATTAGTTCGGAGATACATTGTCTCTGTATTATTTAATTGAACTGAATTTGTATCTTATATTTGTTTAACCATGAGATTAGATGTTGGACTATTTTATTGAATCTTATGTTTGTTTGGAATATTATGAAGAATGGTAAATGCTCGAAGATTATTTTGCTCTTTTAAATTGTTTACTAAATAATAGGAATATTAAATCTGAGTATAAATTTTATTTAATATTTTTACTAGAACTTTTAAAAAATTTAATAAATATAATATTAATAAAAATTACATTAATTTATTTTAATTTGTAGTTGAGATTTTTAAATTTTATTTTACTTTACTAAGTATAATTAATACCATATGATTATTAAAACAAATAACTTAATAAATAATTTTTTATACTTTACTAAGTATAAATAAATTAATAAATAAATTTTATTTTTAAAAGATATTAAATAATAGAGGGTCAAAAATATAATTTTACTATCTAATCTCATGGGATGAGTTATCCTAAGATTTGTATCCCACCCTCCTTCATGGGATAGAACAATCCAATATATTTGGAATTAATAGTTCGGTACAAAATTTTTGAATCAAACAACGAACTATTCTATCGACCGGATATGAATCATATCCCATGGCTCAATCCTTCCAAACAAACATACTCTTAGTTCAAATAACTTGGGAGGGGAAATAAGTCGCATCACAAAGTTTTTTCAAGTTATGTTTGAATCCTGCAATTGGCTAGAGATTTGGAATATAAGTGAAATATGAATGAAAGATAAGTTAATTTCTTTAATTCATTTTTTTTTTCTCTATTCCCTTTCTTTTTCTTTTTTTTTTTTTTTTTTTAAATTTCTATCAAAATTCATGATTTAAACACAAAATTAGAAAGTGATTTCTCTATAACTAGAGAGAACTGTATTCTCGTCAAGGTAGACTCTAGAGATCTTGTAATTTAAGTTGTTCATTTTATAGCTTTCAATGTGTAAATTATTCATGAAAAAAAAAATCAAGTTGACTGTAGTCACATAGTTTCATTAATTTTTTTTAATATGTGACAAGTATGATTTTAAAATAAACTATTTATATTTTTAAAAATAATTTGATAAAATAATACAGTATTTTACGATTATCACATATATTTAAATCTTTTAATGAATAATTTTTACATAAGAGATTACAATATGATGGGTTTTTACATCAAAACAAAAAATCATAGTAGACCGTGCAAGCCCAACTAGACAAACTACATCCACAAATAATTCAAACTAATTTTGTAAAAATGGATTTTAAAACACTTTTTAGTTTTTAGTTTTTCCTTCAACATATTTATATTTGTTTTAGACAGACCATTGGTCAGACGACTGACTGATTAACCAACTAAATTTGATCAAAAGATTAAAATATATCCTATCAAATCAAATTTTTATTTAAATTTTTATGTAAATTTAATAAAGAGCTGTGATTGAGGCCTCGAAATTGAGGCTCGAAATTGCCTCAAATGTAATTTTTTTTTTTTTCTGGGCTAATACATTACAAAAATAAATAAATAAAAATAATAATAATAATAACAAGCAAAGCATCAACCCAAAAAAAAAAAAAAAAAAAAAAAATTCAACCGAAAATTTCGAGCCAAATTTGAGCCAAAAATTGAGGCCTCAATCTTTTTCCTTTAATAAATATCTAATAAATAATTAGAATCAAACTTAGGCCTCTTTTGGAATAGGCAATTTAGTACTTTTTGACTATTTGGCTAAAAATGAAGTAAAAAAAACTTGTATTGTTGGATGACTTTTTCTAATTACGAAAAGATGTGCAAAAAGTAGAGAGAAAAGAATCTTTGACTTTTTTAGTATGGGTTGTTGACTTTTTGACTAATTTAATAACTTTTTGACTAATGACAAAAATAACCTCTCCAAACGAACCTTAGAATCGAATTGTAAGCTCTCAATTGTTATAGACCTGAATCATATTCAATTTCAGGGATTCGGTGTCCCTACAAAAAAAAAAAATAAAAAAAAAAATAAATACCCAAATTTGGATAAGTAATATTAAAAATATTAAATTTTCTATTAAATAAATAATTAATGTTTAGAGTTTACAAAATCTCAGATCATTTACTCTATCAAATATTAGTAAAATTTATAAACTATAATGTTTTCTATTTTTGGACACATGTATAGATTTTTAGAAGTTGCAATATAAAAACTAGGGCTGAGCAAGAAATCCGTAAAATC